TTTAACTTTTGCATTAAGTAATTTATTTTTATTCCCCTTCTTATATTTCTGGATCAGCGATGCAAAAAAGGACTATCAAATTTCCTCCTGCATGTACATAAATGCACCTTCTTTTTCTTTTTCTTTTTCTTTTTTTTTTTTTGAAGTTTTATATACTCCACATATAGACAACTCTAGTTCATCAATCAAATCAAAGGCTCTCTAATTTCTTCAGTTACAGAAAATAACATTCAAAAATTTCTAAATCTAAAAGAAATTTCAAAGTTGGAAACAAGTAGCCATCTAATTTAAAGAATATATTTGAATTGGAATATTAAGTTCTTGTGACACTTTTGAAAAATTTAAAACTGGGGTAGAAGGATCAATCAAGTTTAGAATAAAAAAATTGTTTATTAAAAAGATAATTAAAAATGACAACTAATTTTAAAAGAATTCTAAATAAAAAAATAACAATTATTTTTAATTTCTGCATTGCGTTATATATTTTTATGCCACTTCTTATATTTTTCGATCAACGATGCCAAATGCACATTTTTTTTTTGAAGTTTTGTATGCTCCACTGATGATTCAAGTTAATCAATCAAATCAAAGGCTCTCTAATTTCTTCAGATATAGAAAATAACATTCAAGAATTTTTGAATTTAAGATATTTTTAAGTTGAAAATAAGTAACTATCTAATTTAAAGAATTATACTTGGATTGGAATCTTAAGTTATTGTGACACTCGAAAATTTTAAAGTAGGAGTAGGAGGATCAATCAAGTTTAGAATATCCTCCAGGGGCATTAATAAGTAATTTAATTTGCCGATCGATTTAATAGCAACTAGCTTGTGGTGAGTTGATGCTACTTGTACCCGAAGGGAAGCCATGGTTACCAACACCAAGGCTTTTACCCATTAACCATCTCTAATTCATATTCAATTACTTTAATGTCACACTTAATTGCTATTTATTTTATAAAAAAAAAATTAAATATTAGACTTAATGTTTTATTGAGAGTTAAAAAATTTTTTAAGGTTGTTGAGTTAGTATAAGAAACATAGAAGAAATTTAAAAGGGATAATTTTAAAGAGTAATCTCATCTTTCATATAAATTGTTTGCATTTTAATTAATAAATATAATTTTTATATTATCACACAATTAATCCTATGGTGTACACACAGTTAACGATGTATAAAAGAAAAAAAACAGAGTTCTCATACAAAGAGGCATGTGTTTCTAGGAAAATGTGTATCGCCCCTTTCATCACTCAAAAAGAAATTAAAGCAGTCACTTTCATTTTTTATTTAAGAAAAATGAGACATTGTCTTTGTCCCTCTCCTCACGAAAACTTTTCTTTTGAATCCAATGGCCACTCAATCCAATAAGAAAATACATTCAACAATAAATTTATTAAGTGTCTCTCGACAACCATGTATATGAACACTAGGCCAATCCTTTATATTAATTTAGAAAATAACATTCAGATTTTTTTTCTCTTATAATATGAATTTTCATTAATTTTCAGTTTTCATGGATTTCTGCTGACCCCAAAAGCATGATACTTTTTAACTCTCTTAATAGTATTGCTTCTGCATTAATTTACTTTTTATACCATTCCTTATCAAGCACATGCACATTTTTTCAAGAAGTTTTGCATACTCAATAGGCGTCTCTAGTTTGTCAATCAAATCAAAGGCTCTCTAATTTCTTCCATAGAAAAATATTTAAGTTGTCTTCTAGTCTAAAAAGACTTTTCAGTATTCTTATTTTTAATTCTATTTTAATTTTCATCACAAAATCAATCACTGAAAGAGATAACAATTTTGTGGAGCTCTGAGTACTAATCAAATTGATGGATGATAAATGAAAGATCAACATTTAAATGGTTGGATAGGAATCTCAAGTCCACATGACAAGTACAGTACTCTGCTTAAAGTCTTCAAAGTTGGAAGCTACCCAGAAGGATCTTATAGAGAGGATTTCTTTTGGTTCAGTAAATGGTTGATATGTAAACGTATTAATTCTCCTATAAATACCATTGCACACCAGTCATTAAAAACACAAGAAATCAATTATTATTCCAACTCTTTTAAGAGAAAACATGGGGTTCTCACTAAAGCTCTGTCCATTGGTCTTCCTGCTTTTGTTTTTCCTTGCTTTTTCATTCTCTTCATCGTCATCTTCTTCTTCAGCAACACAGCTCTGTTCTCATGAGCATGCCACATTTTTGTTGCAATTCAGTAGTGCTTTTTCCATCAATAAGAGTGCTTCTGAGTGTGAATATTTTTCTAGTGTCAAATCTTACTCTAAGACACTGTCATGGAAGGAGGGTACAGATTGTTGCTTCTGGGACGGGATCACATGTGACAATATCACAGGTAATGTAATTGATCTTGATCTCAGCTGCAGCAATCTTTATGGCTCCTTCCCTTCCAACAGCAGCCTTTTTCTCATCAAAAGCTTGGAAAGCCTCAATCTTTCCAACAATGATTTTAACCTTTCCAAGATTCCAAGAGAAATTGGTCAGTTTGTGAGCTTAAAACACCTTGACCTTTCTTATTCTTTGTTCTCAGGACAATTTCCGAACGAGATCACCCACCTTTCTAAGTTAGTTTCACTTAATCTCTCTAATTTTGAGTTGAAACTTGAAGAAGCAACTTTCAAGAGTCTTGCTCAAAACTTAAGTGAGATAAGAGAACTTATCCTTAGTGAAGTGAACTTGTCATCTTTGAATCCTCGTTACGTAATGAATCTTTCTTCTTCTTTGATAGATCTTGATCTCTCTTCTTCTGACTTAGAAGGAAAATTTCCACACAACATTCTCCAGTTTCCCAATCTTAAGTCTCTTACACTAGGTGGAAGTGAACAACTTACCATTAGTCTTCCAAAGTCTAATTTGAGTAGTCCTCTTGAATTCTTGGATCTAGAATACATGCGTTGCTCAGAACTTTTTCACTCAATAAGCGACTTGAAGTCATTGAAAGTTTTAATTCTAGAGTGCAACTTGGAAGGTTCCATTCCATCTTCAATAGGGAACTTATCACAGCTTAGTATGGTCGACCTTTCATCGAACAATTTGAGTGGTCTGATACCACCATCACTTACCAACCTCACAAAACTTACTTTCCTTTCTCTTTCAGATAATCTGTTCTCTGGTCCCATTTCTTTTGATTTAAGTAGATTTTCAAAGTTAGTCTCTTTGGACTTAAGTTCTAACTTATTTAACGGAACAATTCCATCTTGGATTTTCACCCTACCTTCCTTAGAGTTTCTATCTCTGTATGATAACCAACTCCAGGGTCCAATTCCTAGCTCTATAACTAATCTTGTGAATCTTACTTATCTTTTTTTATCATCAAATGGCTTGAATGGTGCATTAGAGTTGGACACGTTTTCAAAACTTCAAAATCTTGAATATCTTGACCTTTCAAACAACAATTTGTCTTTGAGAATTAATACCAGTGCCAATTATACATTACCCAAACTAAGAGCCCTATCTCTATCTTCTTGTAATTTGAGTGAATTTCCAAATTTCTTAAGAGAGTCAAGTGATTTAAAAGAATTAGACCTTTCGTATAACAATTTGCCTTGGAAAACAAATATCCATGTCAATTATACATTCCCTAAATTAGTACTTTTGTATTTGTCTTCTTCCAATTTGAATGAATTTCCCAATTTCTTAAGAGAGTCGAGTGATTTAGAAATTTTAGACCTTTCAAATAACAATGTGTCTTGGAGAACAAATGCCTTTGTCAATTTTACATTACTTGAACTACAATATCTGCATTTGTCTTCTTCTAACTTGAGTGAATTTCCAAATTTTTTAAGAGAGTCAAGTAATTTAGAAGTTTTAGACCTTTCAAATAATAAGATTGAAGGCCAAATTCCTGAATGGATGTGGAATGTAGGGAATGACACTTTGGAATATCTAAATCTTTCTCACAACTTTTTGATGGCTTTAGAGCAAATCCCTTGGAGGAACATTAGAACTCTTGACATCCGATCCAATATGCTTCAAGGAGTATTTCCAGTTCCACCAATCAAAATGATCTTCCTTTTAATCTCAACCAATAACTTGTCTGGGGAGATTTCTTCTGAACTTTGCAAAGCTAATTCCCTTGAAATTCTCGACTTCTCACACAACAACTTAAGTGGGATGATTCCGAATTGTCTTCCTAAATTGAGCAAAAGTCTTTTTGTATTGAATATGCAAGCGAATAGGTTTCATGGAAATATGCCATCAATGTTTCCAAAAGGATGTAGAATACAAAATTTCAATTTGCATGGAAATCAAATGGAAGGCCTATTACCTAGATCCTTGGTGAATTGTAGGATGTTGGAGGTTCTAGACATCGGCAACAACAACATAAAGGACACATTCCCCTACTGGTTGGAATCACTTCCCAAGCTACAAGTGCTTGTTCTAAGGTCAAACAAATTTCATGGTTTTGTGCACAACACCAAAGCAAATTCATCTTTCCCCAAGTTACGGGTTTTGGACCTATCTAACAATAATTTTGTTGGTCCTTTGCCTGTGCACTACATTGAAAATCTCAAAGCTATGGTAAATGCTCAGGAAGATGGCAAGAACTCCGCACAATACATGGGGGGAAGATTTTCATATGAATATTCAATAATGGTGACAATGAAAGGACTTTTCATTGAACTTGAAAAAGTTTTGACCATATTTTCAAGCTTTGATCTCTCAAAAAACAAGTTTGTTGGAGAGATACCAAAAGTTATTGGAAAGCTTAGTTCCCTCAAAGGACTTAATCTTTCTCATAACAACCTTAATGGTTCTATCCCACATTCACTTGGGAACTTGACCAATCTCGAATGGTTGGACCTATCTTCCAATGAGCTAGTTGGGGAAATTCCACAAGAGTTGGTATCTTTAACATCACTTTCTGTTCTAGACCTTTCCAACAATCAACTTGATGGGTGTATACCACAAGGCAATCAATTCAACACCTTTGAAAACAGTTCATATAAGGGAAACCCTATGTTATATGGATTTCCATTAACAAAATCTTGTGATGGAAATGGGATGTTGCAACAACCACTCGGCTCCTTCCATGGAAAAGTTCATAAGTTATGGGAATTTGGTTGGAGAGTTGTGCTGCTAGGGTATGTATGTGGATTGGTGTTTGGACTACTAATGGGGTATTTTGCCTTCCAAATTGGAAAACCAAAATGGTTTGTGACTTTGTTTGTTGGCCAACATAATCAAAAAGCAAGGAATGTGAAGAAAGCTTGAACATGTGCTCAAAGAACTTAATTGCAGATTTGTTGACTAAGACCTCAGTGTCTGCTAAATGTTCCTGTTTTGATTGAATTGTGTTTTTTTATGACATGCATAATCTTTTCATCTTCTCTGTGTACTTTGTAATTCTTTATCTCTGTTGGAAAATATGTTTAAAAGGTCAGCTCAATGTAATTACTGTTGAATACAATAAATGTAAAATTTCTGTAATTTGTTTCATTCAATAACTTCCGGGCATGATAAGGCTGAATCTTGGTGTGGCTTTAGTGTGGAATGAAGTGAGTTTATTGATGCCTTGATCCCATATATAAGATTTGTATACCTCAACCTTTGGCCTTTTTCTAATACCGTGTGATTGCTAATTTTCCTCTTAGAAAGATTAAAGGTAGCAAATTTATATTTGAAGCATAGAAAAAGGTTAATAATAGCTAGTAGTACACGAGTAAAGGTGCAAATAAGGATTCCAATTTTATACTTTTTTTATTTAAGGATGTTAACTTTGTCAGTTTCTAAATAAAGATGTCAACTTTCAATTTTTTTTCTAAATAAGGATGTTAACTTTATTAGCTTCTAAATAAGGATGTTAATTTTCAACCTTTTCTATTTAAGGATATCAACTTTTAACTTTTTCTATTTAAGGATTAATTGAATAGTGACGTTGAGGTGGCTAACATATTTTTTAGGTTAAATACCTGAATTGGTCCCTCAACTTTTATTTTTGAACCAATTCATTCTTGAATTTTAGAAAGTACCAAAAACGTCCTTCAACTTCAATTTTCAATTAATAAAATTATTTCTTAATTCATGGAAGAATTAATTAAATTTTATTTAATTTTATTAAATGGTAGGTGGGACTAATTAAATGGGAAAATATATTAATTGTTTTAATTTTTAAATATAAATAAAGTAAAATTAAGAATTAAAGTAGTTTGTAAATTATTTAAAATTTAAAAAATCCACATAATCATCTTTTACATAATGGATTTTCCACTTAATATTGAAAATGTAAAATAGTCAATCACTTAGCAAAAAAATTAGCTACATCAACATTTAACTGACGGAAAAATGAAATTGAAAATTGAAGTTGAAGGATGTTTTTGATACTTTTTGAAGTTTAAGGATGAATTGGTTCAAAAATAAAAGTCGAGGGGCCAATTCAAATATTTAACCTAAAAAAATATGTTAGCCACGTTAGCATCACTATTCAATTAATCCTTAAATAGAAAAAGTTGAAAATTGACATCCTTAAATAGAAAATGTTGAAAGTTGACGTCCTTATTTAGAAACTGACAAAGTTAATATCCTTATTTAGAAAAAAATTGAAAGTTAACCTCCTTATTTAGAAAAAAATTGAAAGTTGACATCCTTATTTAGAAACTGACAAAGTTAACATCCTTAAATAGAAAAAAATACAAAGTTAGAATCCTTATTTGCACCTTTACTCAGTAGTACACAATTGAAGTTTTTTAGCTGAATAATAAAAAGAGCTAAAAAAGATAGTAATATTTGGCAATACATAATCAATCCCCACAATTTTAATTTTATCATTTCGTAAGTTTTTTCAACCAAAAGCTTTATAAAAGCTTTATCCATCGTAACCTCTTAGAAAGATTAAAGGTAGCAAATTTATATTTGAAGCATAGAAAAAGGTTAATAATAGCTGGTAGTACACTGTTGAAGTTTTTTAGCTGAATAGTAAAAAGAGATAAAAAAGATAATAATATTTGGCAATACATAATCAATCCCCACAATTTTAATTTTATCATTTCGTAAGTTTTTTCAACCAAAAGCTTTGTAAAAGCTTTATCCATCGTAACTGTGTCATGCTGCAAAATCAAAACACCAAAAGTGCCTGCCTTGCTCCAAACTTTGATACACATACAACCCACAGCTCACATTACAAGCCAACCAAAATTGGATATCTAGCTCTTTCACTAGTTGTAATATAGCTACTAAAATAGCTATAAAATTGAATTATCACACATCATGTACAATAAGATTACAATCCTCCTTCCACCATATCATGTTGAGATAAAGGAGACCCCAAGAATACATTGCGCTTTCCATGATCACATCATTTCATAATGCTAGACTTAAATACAACTCGACCCTTGCCGAGAAAAGACCATTGCATTTTGTCAATGGACAAAAGCACTGTGCAGATGAAAGGAATGGCTTTCCCTCTCAACAAGACACTTGGCTGAA